TGATTTAGGGCTGGAACTTGGAATCTGTACGCAAGCTGGGAAGCATTTTCTCACATGAACGGTATTATCCACCAATGCAACTTGCATCAGTGCTCCTCAGGATTGCATAGGGAGCAGCAAATACTCTCCTGAGTGGAAGGGTTAATGAGAAGCAGGGAGCTAAGGCACTGGTGCTAGTCTCTTCAAGAACTGCAAATGTATTCAGCTTCTGTCCAGGGACAAGTGGCAGAAGGAGGCTCTTTATTCCATCTCTCTTGCTTGCTTTACAACTGCTCCAGACGGGGCACAGCTGAGGCCATGTCTTCACTACAAACTTATGGCAATACAAGTTATAATGGCAGACAGCCACTATTGTTAGTACCTCATTTGTGTGCATGCCTACTAATTTAGCTCCTACTGGATGAAATTCAGTGCTGATTTAGGGCCCACTGTTGATATTATTTCCATTGGTTATAGCAAGAGTAAGAACTCAAATGAGTAAGAGCTGCTGCAAGATTGGACCCTTACATCCTGTGTCATCTGTCAGATTACATAGCATGTAAATCAGCACTGCAGCCTCATTCCCTTTAAAAGCTAATCAACCTCTCTCCTTTGTGTTCCCTGCTTTAGGAACAAACAAAACAATTCTCCTCCCCCCCATTTCTGAATACAGAACATATAACCAAATATTTATTTACTGGGTGTTTATATTTGGAATCCAGAAGCACAAAGCCATGTGCTTAATTAAGGGCACATGGTTGCAATCCGTGTTCATGTGGTCAGTTCTGGTAGGCTGTGGGAATAGGACTAACTGCTTTGAGCTTGCATGAAAATGCTTACAAAGCTGTAAGCTCAGCATTCACAACATATGACTTTAAAAAGCATTCCAGGGTCATCCAACAAGAGCTGACTGATCCAGACTTTTTCTTTCCTTTTGCTATTCATTCCACTTGCTATTGCTATGTAAATGTGCCCTCAGCCTTCCAGCGGAAAAGGGGCAATCAGGGCTATACATTGTTGCTGTTCTCCTGACATTAGTTAGACCACAACTGTGCCCTTTTACTAGTTGTCTTCCTTATCAGATCTGAGGAAAGACTGAATTCTGAAATGTATTTAGGTAGGTGTTCTCTATAGCTGATAGGTACTTGTTTTGCCTGATTTCAAACCCACTCAAATATTACAGATTTAAAAGTTTAATTTAAAGGCTATTAGGAGTCTGAAAGACTGGGGTAGGGGGAATAGGAGGGATATAGACTAGGGATGTAAGTGAGTAGTCGAGTACTTGACTACCTGATAAGCCTAGGTTTATTGGGTAATCAGTCAAGTACTCGACTACTCTACTTGCATTCTCCCTCCCTCCGCCCCCTAAGGACCTGGGATGAGCCAGTTGCTCTGGGGACAGCTTAGCCACTCTGGGCTGGCCCCGCTGCCCCGGGAGCCCTGCTCATGCTCAGCAGGCAAGGAAGGGGCCAAGGCTGAAGCCCAGGTAGGTGGAGTGCAGCAGCCAGGTGAGCTCGGTGCTCCTAGGCTGGGCTCGGGGAGATGTGGGCTCGACGCACTGGCCAGGCTGGTATCACATTGGAGAACTGGGCCAATGCCACCGGTGGTGCTGTGGGGCGCTCTGGGCTGGGCAGGTGGGGGCAGCACAGGGTGAGCAGCCGAGTGGGGGTCCCGCAGGTGTGGGCAGTGTTCAGGTTGCAGCCCAGCCTCCACTCTCCACCCACGCTGGTCCTGCAATTCCCAACCGGGCTCTGCTTGCCCGGCCCACGCAATGCATGGGTGCCGCTGCCCTGTGCATCAGGCAGCCAGGGGGAGTCGCCTCCTGAAATGGCTTTCACAGTTCATTCTGCGGAGTGGGTCAAGCACTCCTTGCTGATCCAGCACTGCCTTCCCAAAGCCTGGCCAGCCCACCCGGAAATGCTATGACCTTGGGCTTCCCCTCCCAGCTCCGGAATGTGTGCAACGGGCAGCACTTGCTGCGGTCCCCTCTGCCCCTACTCATCAGGGCCCAAATGGGAAGACGGGAGGTGGGGTGTTAAATGAGATGTGCTGGGAAGCCATGTCCCAAATCAAACCCACTTGTGGATTGTCCCTTACTGGGCTTGCCCAGCGCATTTCACTGCCCTCGGGGATGGCCGCAGACAGGGTCTGCTGGACCCAGTGCAAGCCAGGATTGGGTCAGCCAGGCTCATGCCAAGTCCGGGAGCTACCCCCACTCTGCAATTTAAATGTGATAGCAGCCAGGCTGCCTGTGTGCTGGGCTCTTATTACATCTAAACTGCAGAGCCACAGCAGGGTTGGACGCTTCTGGGAACTAACACCTATCAACAAATCGTGTAGTCGACAGAAATTCTATCAACACGATTAGTTGATTATTCATTTCTTAACATCCCTGATATAGATAGATGTATTCTCACACTCTCTACTGGTGTAAGGGGCAGAGACCCTAGTTCAAACTCCCCCAAATTTGGACATACCATTCTGAGTCTAGACTTTGCAACTTGCCAACCCTCTCTCGCAGGGGATAAGCAACCCCCACTCTTTGCTGGCCACCGGGGAGGGCCGGGCTGCAGCAGCGCCACTCCAGGCCATTTCTCCCTTCCCAGTAGGGTTGCCCGATGGTTTAACCAAAAATATTGAACACACACACACCCCTCAAAAAAAAAAAAAAACACACCGCACCGGGGAAAAAATTCTGTTGAGGGGGAAAAAAAAGGGGGGGGGAAAAAAAAAAAAAAAAAAAACCAACCAACATTAAAACAGCATGGCCCCTTTAAGTGCATGCAGCATCAGAATAGAGAAAGAGAAAGGAAGAGCGCGAGGTTGAACACTAAGACCCATGGAAGACATTGCTTCCCCTTGCTTCAGGTCTTTAGGCTTTTTGCCTGCAGCCATCTTGTTTTCTTGATTGAGCCAGAAGGAACCAGGTAAGCGGGGGGGCCCAGAGGCAAGGGACCCGGGGGCTGGGCCCAGTTGCTGAATGTGTGGTAGTGCTGCCAGGTGTCTGATATTTTTGCCTCCTGGCAGGGAAAAAAAACATTTTAGGTGTCTGGTATTTTTAAAAATTTTTTACCTGACAGGAGGCAAAAATACGGGACTTTCCAGGTCAATACCGGACACCTGGCATCCCTATGCCCCAGCCATGCCAGCCTGGGCCCCTTCTTCCCCCCCACACCAGCCCAAACCCCTTCTCCTCCCTCTTCCATCCCCAGCTGTGACAGCTCAGGCCCTTCTCCCTCCCCCTGCCCCTAGCCGCACCACTCCAGGCCCTTTGCCCAATCCAGCCACACCAGCCAGGCCCCTTCTCCTCCCCCCCATGCTGCACTAGCTCGGGTCCCGTTGCCTTCCCCACCCATGTCAGCCTGGGCCCCTTCGCCTAGAGGGAAGCCAATACTATACTTTTCAAACTGAAGAACCCTTCTCAAAAACTGGGCGGTATGGCAAGGGATCCTTGGTTTTGCAAAGTCAATGAATCACAAAATGTCAAACTCCACTCAGAAGTTTCATTCCTTATGCCATATATGATTCAGAGGTGGCAAAACGTTACGCAGAGACCAATAGTTTTTGCAACCAACTATGTAGTTTCTGGAAACCACTGCTCCCAATATAGATTGCTCAGACTGGCCTAATTTATCAGATCAAGGTGGAGCACTACATGTTGGGACATGTAGTTTCTATGACTCAAACAAATGTATTGAAAAGAAGGTGATTACAAATTGCCATGTTTTACACAAATTGAGAAAAACCCTGGGGCTTATGACAAGTTGAGTAAAGCATGACTGCTTGGAATTGTGAAACCTACTGCTCAGAAGCCAAATAAAGCTCTCAACTTTTATTATTATTTTAAAATTTCATGATTTTTAAACCAATCTAATTACTTTTGGGGCTTTGCCTTATGAATTAGTTGCGATTGGTCCTACCTTGGGCAGAGGGATGGACTTGATGACCTCTTAAGGTGTCTTCCAGCTCTATGATTCTATGATTCTAATTCTGAACACTTGCCATTTACAATACTGCATCTCATTCCCTGCATATCAATTTAGATGAGAAGGGGAGTTAAAAAAAATTTCAATATATTTAAGATGTAGCAACATAATAGGTTCAGAGGGGAGGCCGAGTTAATATGTAATAGGAAAAACTTAAAAAAAACAAATAGTCTAGTAGCACCTTAAAGACTAACAAACATATAGGTTTGGTATCTTTTATAAAACTAGCTTTGAGGGATTTTAAGCTCTGAGATGGAGGGCACACTAATGTAAGCAGGATAGGCTAAGTAGATGAAGTAAATATGAGCTCAGGTCGCAAAGTCTGGACTCAGAATGGCATGTCAAAATTTGGGAGAGTTTGAACCAGAATCTTTGCCCATTTTATCACGTGAGAGTGTGAGAATACATATAATGTTTCTTTAAAACAAACAAACAATGAATGGTCCTGTACCACCTTAGAGACTAACCAAAAAATACAGATAGTATCATGAGCTTTCGTGAGCCCAACCCACAGTGAAGTGGAAAGAGAAACGTGTCAGCTTTGGGAATATACCACTTTCCTCTTTCTAATAAAGTTCAGTATTAGATGAGAAGGGACTTTCTGTTATTCTTGACCATTATCACATGACAGATACCAAGATAATGATCAGACCTGGATCTAAAGTTTCTCATGGTTTAGGCGTGCTCTGGTCATCATGACGCATTTGTTTCAGGCTCAGATGTTTAAATCACATAGATTCCATTCTCTAGTTAGCACAACTGGCTGTGAGGCTGTTCACTTGGTAAAATGCCAAAGACTTCCTTATTAAATTGCATCTGCTACTGAGGCAAAAGAGCATATTGTGGGAGAGTGACCTTAAAGATATACACGTAAAAATAATCAGCACAGGATCTCTTCCTCTATAAATGTATCCTATTTGTGACTGTAAGACTCATGCTCCCAGACAGAATATGACCTCATCCCACTCATAAGTTTTGCTGAATTAGTAAAAAAACTGGCCAAAAGCAGTTTACAAACTGGAAATGAGTACTTACGTGCAGACGTGAGTAATGTATTAATTTCTAGCAAGCATCAGACAAACTTGTGACAGCAGCAACACAGCAGGGAAAGATGAGGGCAGAGTTGATGCAGTAGGAGGCAGTCTGATGTTATTTATTTATATTTTTAAATTGAGGTCAGTGTCCTCAATCAAAAGCTGCAATGGAGGATTTCTAGAAAGACAATTGATCTATGATGAGGGTACATGTCAACATCACCGAAGGATCCATAGACAGCAAGGGAAGGTTCTGTTGCACCATAAATCCCAGTGGATGGGGTGTATCTTTCAAGAGCAGAATTTCACTCTGATATAGTTCTAATATATTGTACAAAATGTATAGTTTAACTGTGTTCAAAATCACTACAGCAACACTATTATTAAGCACATGGAAACACCCAGAGTTACTCATGCAGTGACTAATCATATTACTGCTGCTTGAATGTAAAGCATGTGTAGGGTTTGTTTTTAATTAAATGCACAATGGTCTTACTGGAAAAAATTATTCTAAACTTTAACTTTTACTCAACTTTTGTTCCTTGTTTACAGCTGACAGTAGTACCACTTCCACGCCCACTTTTAACAATGGAATTGCAATGATTTATATGTCAAAGAAAGGAAGGATCGTCTTGTGGTTAAAGTCCGGGAGACCTGGGATCAATTTCAGGCTTTGCCCTAAATTTCCTGGGTGAGCTTGTGCCTCAGTTCCCATCTGTAACACAGAGATAATAAATCTACTCTTTCTTGGTCTGTCTGTATTTAAACTGGAAGTTCTTATGGGGGCAGGTATTGTCTTATTTAGTCTGTTTGTGCAGTTCCTGGAGCAATGAAGCTCCAGTCATGTTGATGCCTCTATCCAATACTATAATAGAACCAGGCACTACAAAGGGTGAGGGGGAGCAATGGCCAGCACCTGGGCCCTTTACATCACCACTGGAGTGCCACATGGCACACTCTGGGTGGCTCTGAAGCTGCCTAGGAGGCAGAAGGGCTGTGGCATACTCTGGACAGCCCTGAGAGCTGGCTGCCCCTCCCATTCTGCCTGAGGCCCTACCCATTCCACGACTATGGAGCTGTCATCCCTCCCCTCCCCCCAACTTGCCCAATGACCTGAAAGTCCTACATTTCTGGAATTCCTGAGCCCACCTTTAAAGCTAAGCATTATTGTTAACCAGCCTATATCTAATATAACATTATTTTCTCCAAACAGCAGCATTCTGTGGAAGACCCTCATCACAGTTTGTTAGGTGTAATTTAGATATATTTCAAGTCCACAAGGCTCTACTGCTGCATGAGGCAGAGCGGGTTAGTGGACTAAATAAAAATGTGGGCAGCAAGAACTTCTGTGTTCTCATCATAGCTCTAATGATGATGTGAAATCCAAGCTAAATCCAAGGCCACTGAAGTCATGAGAGTCTTATCCTTGACTTCAGTAAATTTTAGATCAGGCCCTTAAATTATTTGTGATTCACATTCCCCCCTTCTCCATTCCCTGAGGCATTGGAAAGATTCATTAATTAATATTTGTAAAGGGTAATTTAAATACCTGGTCCAGGTTTACCCTCAGAAGTTTAAGTTGACCCAGCTATGTCAGTAGGGTTACAGCTACACAGTGGGGGATTTTCCGAAGAATGAAAATTGCACTCTCATTTGCGTATCTTCTTCTGATTCTTTTTCCGGAAGAGGCTTTTCCGATATTTGGCCCATCTACGCTGGGCCAAATGTTGGAAAAAAACCCTCTTTTGGAAGCCCCTGTACACTTCATTTTACGAGGAATAAGAGGGCTTCTGAAAGAGGGTTTTTTTCCAACATTTGGCCCCATATAGACGGGCCAAATATTGGAAAAGCCTCTTCCAGAAAAAGAATCGGAAGAAGATATGCAAATATGAGCGCAATTTGCACACCTTCGAGAAAAAAATCCCACAGAGTAGCCATACCCTAAAGGATGAAAATAATCCATGAACCCGTGAACAAGGTACTTAAGACAACCTCATTCAGAGCAGTAGAATGACAGAAGAATCCTGTCATTCAACATAGCAACCACCTTTCAGCTGATGGAAGAACATTCAGCTGCACTGTTGCATCTATACTGCTGTAGTGTTTCAAGTGTGGTTAAGCAAGCTCTGAATATTGTGACTTCTAGTTATTAAATACAATAGGCAGGCGAGAGAACATGGTTAGTCTTTTTCTCAACAAGGTATTGCGTGCAGTTTTTCTTTGGATTTAATCTCTCTCTGCATAGGTATATAGATACAGATACATAGAATCACAGAAGTTTAGCACTGGAAGGGATCTCAATTGGTCATCTAGTCCAATCACCTACACTTAAGGCAGGATTATGTAATAACTGGATCTTTCCTGCCAGGTGTGTGCCTAACCTCTTTTTAAAAACCTATATAAACTGTTACCAACTCAGTTTACTAAAACAAAGTTTATGACACCTCTAATTTACTTTAAAACACTAATGATGGGTTTGAAGCAATCCCATGGTTAGTGTTTTAGAGTAAACAGGTCTCCAGCTACTTTAGCAGTGAAACTGACAACACCATTTGCTGACTTTGTTTATATTCTAGGTTAAAAGATTTTGTGATAAATACTACCACTGCAAGGAGCAGCCACACACAGAAGTGGGGGCAGGATGGTATTGGGTGCACATTAGTTATAGGAAACAGACCGCTGGTGGGGACTGGATGGATCTGGCTGTGCAGCCACTGCATGTGCCCCTGGCTAGAACATAGCACACTACAGTATAAATACTAATTAGCTCCATAGGGATTATGGTACATTAGTTTATATGGCAAATTGCGTAATTCTCCAGTATTCTTCTGAGCTCTAGTTAGGCCTTTTGCTGTGAACTGGGGCAAAGGCAGAAATTGGCTCCTTGAAGCTTTGTAAGTGCTCCTCTGTAACATAAGTCAGGATTTGTCCCTTTGCATGGTTTAAATATTGCATCGTCATATAATAAGTAGTTCCTAGTTTGGACTAGAATTACTATTTTCTCTCGCAATCCCATCCTCCTGCCCAGAAAGACACAAAAATCATTGTGATATTTTTAATCTTAATGTGAGTAATAAATCTTGTCCTTACAATGGACAATATACTTTGGAATGTTGGTCCAGTCTAGGTTTTGATTCCTAGGGTTTCAATTTACACGGGTTTGCACTTCGTACATTATGGATACATCTCTCCATCTATTTAAAGTCTGTCTTAGATATTTCTCAAGTGCCAACCACCATGTGTAACCTAAATTTCAAATACACTGCAAAGCTCAAAGTGCAACTCAAGTGAAATTACCATGTTTTGCCAAACTCAGCAAAATTTTCAGTGAGCCTGGATGGTAATAAAACCTAAACCAAACAAGTTCGAGAAGTTCAAACTGGAGCCGAGCAAAAATTTGGCAAACATTTGCAGTGAAACCAAGAGAAGTTTGTTTCACTGCAAATATAGCCAAAGCCTTGCCCAGTTCTCGTCTGACCTGCCGTTTCTTCCACTGAATTTCTACAAAAAAAAAAGGTCCATCTGAAGAATTGGGATGTGCCCACGAAAACTCATGCTACTATCTACATTTTTTGTTAGTCTCTAAGGTGCTGCAGGACCATTCATTGTTTTTTAAGATTTTTCAGTTATAGACTAACATGGCCACTCCTCTGAGACTTTTTAATCTCTACAATCTGCAGGATCCTTCTCCAGAAACCACTCAAACACAACAGGCTAAAGAACTCAAGTTCTGCATAAAGATGGGCTGAGCCACAAAGTCAGATTTCCCCCAAATGTGGGTGTTTCTGAGGTTTAGTTTCAGGCTCATCTCTATGAGGGATTCATCTCTATGGGTGCAGGGATTAACTCAAAATAAGCTATGCAAATTGAGCTACACAAGACTTATTTTGAAATAGAGCACTTTTCCTTCGACTTCCCTTATTCCTTGTACAATGAGGGTTACAGGAGTCGAAGTAAGAAGTTCTCCAGTTTGATAGTATCTTGACACTATTTTGAAATAACTGCCTGCTATGTAGACGTGGACTAAGTTATTTCGGAATAGTGCTAGTTATTTTGAAATCGTGTTGTAGTGTAGACGTACAGTATGAAGGACTAATCCCTTGGGAAAATAGTCCTACCTTCCTTTTCCTTCCAGTGTTCTTCTTTGTATTTCATTGTTTAAAAAAACTGATGAGTTATCTAGTAAGGATGTTAAAAAGGGGTTAATTAGGTAACTGTGTAACTACTGAAAATCTTAGCGGTTATACATGCTGTGGGCTCTGCAGAATAAAGCCAGCTCCCAGCTGCTTGCCCCACTGGAACAGTCTGTACAGTGGACTCTGCGGTACAAAGCTCCTCCTTTTAAGATGGCTGCCAGCACAAAACAGCTCCCACCTGCTGCCCTGCTCCCAGGGAACTGGCTGCTGCCTCTGTATCAGTTCCTGGCCCTGCCCCTGACTTCTGGCTTCACTCCTGACTCCTGGCCCCACTCCCAAGGTTCTGACTGCCACCCTACCTTGCAGACTCTGATACAGAGCCAGCAGTGCAGAATGGCAGCCAGCTCCCAGTGAGTAGGGCCAGGAGCCAGCATTTAACCGTTACGGTAACCGATAAGCTCATGTTCATTAGTTAACTGTTTAAACGGTTATACTATGACATCCCTACTATACAAATGTTCTGGCATCATCATAACAAATGTAGCAAGATACAGTGGGCAGTGCATTGGCTCACCTCTTATTTTTGAAGGTTTGGGTTCAACATAGGCTCAAGTTCCATAAGTGAATGGATTCTGGTGGCTTCATCAGCTTCCGGGTCTCAAACTATACACTGAGTACAAAGATGGTGGAATTACTATGTACAATGGAAAAGACCATGGAATCATGAACTAAGCAAGCATGTCCATATTTTAATGTCAGCTTTGTTGTTTTTGGCTAGTGGGGGTGGGGGCAAATGATGTGATGAGGATATGACCTTTGCATCAGATAATAGCATCATTAGAAGTACTTTTTACAAACAGTAACTAATTAATCTTTACAACAGCTTTATACCAAAGATAAGTATTGTAATGAACCTTCATCCACCTAGCCTTAATAATTGTCTTTATGTGTACAAGATGGTTACCTGGAACAGTTCAGTGGAAGTGGAGATATAATTCTAGTGTTTTTACAAGCAAACCCACATTCTATCTAAGGTACTGGAGAGCTGGTAGCAGCATGAAGACTATGGCCTTGTTTACATTCATGGTGACAGGATATGTGTAGCTGCACCACAGTGAAAAGATCTGACAGGTGGAAAACAGAGAGGAAAGGCTTCAGTAGAG